CAACCAACACGATGTAGTTTCCTTATTGCAACAAGGACATGTATATTCACCTTTAGTGCTCTATCCTGACAAGTTTGCAGATACAAGAAAATCACTAATTGTCCACAGTAAAGCTGCATGCATCTAAAACATTTGATTTGTTGATGCATCAAATGTGGAGACACCGTCATTCCATAGTTCTTTCAACTCCTCAATCAACGGTTGCATATACACATTAATCTCCTTTTGGGCCGTCAATAAACACAGATAAAATTAGAAATGGTTGTTTCATGCACCTCCATGGCGGCAAGTTGTATGGAATGAGCACAACAGGCCAAGTGCTATGAACTATGTTCATTATCCTGAATGGGTTAAAACCATCAGATACCAAGCCAAGCCTTACACTTTGGCAATCATTGCTAAAGTCAATATTCCAACGGTTAAAATCTTTTCATACAAGGGAGTCAACAGGATGCCTAAAGACACCGTCATCAGTTCGTTCCTCTGCATGCCATCTCATTAACTTGGCCGTCTTGGATGACATAAACAACCTTTGTAACCTTGGCTTTAAAGGAAAGTACCTCATCTGTTTTGCAGCTATTCGTTTGCCACCTTTATTAGGACCATTTGAACCACCATCACCATTTGATTTCCATCTAGAACTATTTCATATGACACATTTATCAAGATTGGTGTCGTCGTTGCGAAATAACATGCAACTTTTGGGACATGCATCCCACGTCTCATATGTGAAGCCCAAATCTATTGTGACCTTTTGAGCTTTATAATATGAGTCCGGGAGTTTCACACCCAACGGGAACGCCTCATTCAATAACTCAAGCAACATGCCAACAGACTTGTCTGTCCACTGATTAAGCACCTTCAGATGTAGAAGTCGAACAATGAATGACAAAAATGTGAACCTCTGACAGTTTGAATTCAATTCACTTTGTGCATCTTGAAGAAGTTTAAAATACTTTGCAGTCTCTGCATTTGGACTGAGCTGGGGTTCAGATACATGTGGATCAGGTGCTTGTGGTTCATTACCCTCAACACTTGTATCGGCATGTGGATTTCCCATAGCCCCTTGTATCATTCCAACCAAATCATCCCCAGTGTCTAAATTAGCCAATGTTTCATTCTCTTGATTACCATACAAAGATACGTAAGATTCCCCATGATTAATCCAATGTTTGTACTTTTTTTAAAAAACCATTCAAAATCAGGTGCTCCCGCACACCCTCTCGTACAAGATGATATCGAATCTCACATTTCATATACGGACAACTAATCATCAAACCTTCAGCCCTATTGGTGTAGGCAAACACAAGGAATTGATCAATCCCAGTAATGTATTCCCTTGACATCCTATTTGGCAAGTCAACCCAACTCTTATCCATCCTTTATTCTTCCCTCAAATATCTCTTTTACACACATCCACAAAATTGTCATTTGGAAATTCAATTGAAACTTATTCTCTTGCACAACAATTGTTAATATGTGAGCTAGTAATTGTCTGCTACCTTCCAACCTATTTACAAGCCCTTCTATTTCATAAACAAGTATAAATTATAGCGGTGAGCAAGGTTTGGTGGTTCAATTTAAGAGTAAACTAAGACCAAGCAATTACTTACGGTTGGAATCAAAACAAACCATGAGAATCTTCTAACCAAATCAAATTAAACCACTAAAACGCCATTTCAATCAGCACAACCTAGGAATTGTTTAGATGAATGTTTAGAATTAGTGCTACCACTATACAAGAACACACGTGCAAAATTGACCCTATTTCAAAAGCCACCTCCCCATTCATGTCAGTATAGTAGAACTCTTAATGAACAATCATTTTGGAAGTTCTCATTAATTGAACAATGTTTCATAAAGATAATTAAGATGCATTTGATAATGGAGAACTAATAATGCCTGATGAGTTTGACAATGCCTGAAAATAGATGCATTGGAAAAAGAAAAAACCTGTGATGATACAACCTAGAAAGTTGAAGGGGAACCATATTGCACATCAACGTAAACAGTCACTTTTGAGCAAGACAGAAATTCTACCATCTATTGCAAGAGGCCAAAAAAAAAACAATTTATTTCCTCCAATTATGATTAAAATGAACCCAACAAGACCTACCAAAAACTCTTGCATTCAAATATCACCAATATTTTTATTCTACAAAAAAGTTTTCATAGAAAATGTTTTTCATTGTTGGGCAAATCAGGTGAAAAAGAACTACAGTGAGATTGCATTGTGTGATACTTTCTAGTTCTATAGGGCAAATCATGTAAAAAAGAACTAAAAAACGTGGAATATGAATTTAAACTTCTGAAATTTAAAAACCCAAGGATCCTAACTACACTAATTTTCTCTATTTTCACAAACTAAAATATTTTGGGATTTTTTTTTTTTAAAGTTCACTAAAGATAAAATATGAAAAATAAAAACTGAAAAATAAAAATCAAACAATTGCAACCCTACATTCTCCACTACCAAGCTTTTAAATATTTATTTATACTTATAATTGTAATAGTTTTTCTAAAAAAACATGAGTCATAATACACACATATAATGGGTGTATAGTTTTTTTTTAAAGAATTTATATAAAACCCTTTCACCAGCACTGTTCTAGATACTTTATTATTACCATTTCAGTTTTAGTTGTGTGCTACCAATTTACAAAATTAAATTATATTTGGCATACTGAATACAAAATGCATATCAAGACTATCAAATCTAATTATTTGATACATAAATTGAATTCTCTTAAAATAAGATTCTAAAATTATTGAGAGAATAAACCGTAAGCAAGAAATGAGAGTAAAGATTTACAAATGGATGAGAATATTTTTGTGTAAATTTTTTTGGATAAATCGTAAGCAGAGAGAGAGAGGGCATACAGTCGTCACTCGCCGTCGCCTTCTTCACCGCTGCTCGTCGTCGCTCGCTGCTAGTCGTCATTCGCTGCTAGTCGTCATCCGCTGCTGCTCGTCGTCGTCTTTCACCGTCGTCACTCGTTGCTAGCCATCGTCGTTCACCGTCGTCACTCCCTGCTAGCCATCGTCGTCCTTCACCGTCGTTGGATTTTGGCTCAAGGGTTTTGGGGATTTTGGTTTCAGAAAGGTGTTAGGGATTTTGGGTTGGTTTCAAAAAAGTTTTAGGTGATTTGAGGGGAAATTGACCGCGAATGGGCTAAAATGAGTAAGTTCGAAAAAATTTTGTTACTTTTTGCGACAGTATATTTAAACTGTCACAAATGGTAAATCCTAACAAATAAAACGACGCCATTTTAACAAGAGTTAGTTTGCGATGGATTTTTGCAGTCATAAATGGTCCACTATTTGTGACAGTAAATGTTTACCGTCTCAAAAAAAAATTATTTGTGACAATACATCTAGCGTCACAAATGTTTTTGTATTTTTCTTGTATATTCATTAGCGACGTGGTCATCACCGTCACAAAAAGCCATTTTAGGCAATGGTTTCAAAACGCCGTTGCAAAAGACCATTTTTGGCGATGGCACCTATGCTGTTGCAAAAAGTTCTGTGTTATTTGAGCGGTTTTCTAGCAATGAGAGTCCCTTAACACATCCTTCTTAATATGCCATGTCAGCAACTCATGCCACATCAACCAACCTGTCACGTCAATAACCTGTCGACGAAAAATTTCCAAATTTTAGCACCAACATTGTCTTATTTACATATTAATTCTATATAAAAAGAAAATACTATATATAAATATAATTTTAATCATATTTTCTTACTACACTAGACAAACATAAAGTCTCGCATTAACAAATATACATATATGGGTTCAAAAAATTTAAAAATAAATAATATTTAGGTTCCATTGCATTTGTCTCTAGTAGTAATAAATTGATGAGAAATCCTATACAACATTATGAAAAAATATGCACATGGAAAATTTGGATCACTGAAATTTTTGCCCTCTCACTTTTATTTGCATAATGTGATTGATTATTTTGGTGATCCAGATTTTCGATAATTGTAACAATGTTGATAACATTAGTCTAATGAAAATTATTTTATTTGGTTTGGTTTTCAAAATTCGTTTTCAGATTTAAAATAAAATATAAAAACTAAAAATTAAAAACACTTACTATTTTTATATAATTTACATTTTTTAGCAATACTACATCTCAATAAATTTCTCACGCAAAAGCACCCCATAACAATTTCTTACTAGTAAGAATTCACCTCTATAGAACCAACTAGGCCCAACTTAGTTGGTCACCTAACTTTCATAAGGGCTTAGTTCGTAGGGGGAGTTGAATCACCATGACTTTTCTAAGGATTTTGTCCTTAGAGGGAAGTTATGGATTCACCTCTTCTTAAGAGAATTGAATTAAGAAGGCAAACACTTGACACTTTATATAGGATAGGAAGGCCATCTCTTATAGGTGCTAATTTAACAATTTACAACTAACTTTCTTCGATTAAAAAAAAAAATCACTACTAAAAAAAAATCACCGCTATAGACTGAAATTTTTTACTAGTCAGAAATTTGTGGGGATTGATTTTTCTTTATGTTTTTAGGAAAAAATAAATTTTAATTTTTTAAAATAATTTTCTTTTTAATGTTTATTTTTATCAAATTAATTTCTATATGTTCTAATTTTTTTTTTTTCTAAAACTAGTTTCAGAAAATCAAACCAGTATGAGTTTAGGAAACATATACAATCCCAATATGAGATCCAACATTACAGCTGGTTGGATCCTTTATCCAAACTCAAAAATGGATTGCAAGTCACCCCAAGACCCAAACCCACCGACCCAAAAAAAACCCATTTTGTAAGGTTTACTTACTTCAACGTCAAGGCACATGACAATTGGCTTGTGTGTCCGTCACTCACTCTCCCCTAGTTTACAGACTTAAAACCTATTCCAAATTCGAAACAAAATCTTACACTATCTAAAACTCTACTATTTCCTAAAACCCTAAGACCGAGTCCTATAAATACATACATAGCTTTAAGAAACATTCACATCAATATTTTTTCATGAACACAAACAACAAACAATCCTGTGAAGATGGTGTCGATGAAGAGGAAGCACGAGGAGTTCAAAATCAAGAAAAGTGTCTATGGCGATGGAAACAAGTGGTTCAGAGGTCCATCATCGGAAAATCAAGCAGCGGACTGGTTTATTTGGCGACTTTGAAGAAACCCAAATGGAGACTCACCCACTTGCCTGTACTAATGGCTGTGAAGTCCGCAGAGGTTTCTGATTCGGCTTTGCTTCAGAGGGAAGCAATTGTTCTTAGCAACTTCCATGCTTGTCCCTATATCTATCGTTGCTTTGGGGACGAGATTATGACCGATGATCGCAATCGCATCATTTATAACCTTCTCTTGGAGTACGGCTCTGGCGGAACCCTAGCTAATTTGATCAAGAAAAGTGGCGGCGAAGGATTGCCTGAATCTGATGTTAGGCGCTATACAAGGCATATTCTTGAAGGTCTTGATTGTGTTCATAGCTGTGGGTATGTTCACCATGCTCTAAAGCCTGAGAATATCATAATCGTTCCTATCATTACTAGAACTGGCGCTGAATATATTGCAAAGATTGGTGATTTTGGGTTGGCAAAGAGAGCGAAGCAGATGAGGAAGATGATGATGATGTCAAAGTCTTGTAAATTGAGAGGAAGTCTCAGGTATTCGTCGCCGGAGACAGTGGCTGATAAAGGGCTACAACAAGAGTCTCCATCTGATGTTTGGGCTCTTGGGATGACTGTGTTTGAGATATTAACTGGGAAGTCTGTGTGGGATGGGAAACAAGATTCAGAAGTTGAGGACATTCTCTTTGAGATTGGTAGAGGGCATGGACTGCTCAAACTGCCCAATCAGAGTGAGGTATCAAATGAAGCAATGGACTTTTTGAAGGGTTGTTTTGCTGGAAAAGCTATGGATAGATTGACTACTCATATGCTCTTGAATCACCCCACTACAAGAATTCACACATTTGCCGACCACTTTTGCTGACCAAAAAAATTTTGGTCGCAAAAAAATGACATTTAGCGACTAAATATTAATTAGTCGCGAATGATCATTATTTTTGGTGACCAAATATTATTGGTCGTAGAAGGTTATATTTTGGCGACAAAAAAATGAGTTAGTCGCAGAAAGTGGTATACTTTTGCCGACCAACTACAAATTTGGTCGCGGAAGGTCACATTTTTTGGCGACCAAAAATTTGATCGCGAAAAAATTATTTTCCGCAACCAAAAAAAATTAGTCGCCAAATTAGTACTTTTAGCGACTAATATTTTAGTCGCCGTTGATTGAAATTTGGCGACTAAAACAATTTGTCGGCGAAAGAACCTGTTTTTGCGACTAATTTGATCTTTTGGTCGCCAAAAGTTTGGGGGAAAATTTGAAACGTGGGGCGGGAATTGAATTTCAGAAAAAAAAAAATTAAAGCCCTGATCTTCTTCGTCTCTATCTAAAAAAAAGCCCTAATCTGTGTCTCTCTATGTTGGCCCGCCCCTCCCTCTTTCTGTGTTCTCTCTTTCAATCGGTGCCCACTCTCTCTAGCTCACCGAAGTCCCTCACCACCATTGCTCACGTCGGTCGCATGTCGCCACCGCTGCAAATCGCCATCGCCAATAATTTTCTACTTCACATTGTTGATGCATCAATTGAACCCAGATTAGGGTAATTTGGTTTAATATGGTGATATGTAATAAGTTTCTCCTAATATTAGATCTCTAGTAATCAATTTCCTTTGTTGAGAAAGAACCCAGATTGGATGTCTCTCTCTCTTTCCTTTCTCTTCATCGGCATCAATTTTCTTCCTATGAACGAAGATCAATCGAAAACGACGACATCGATCGCCTCCTTCTCGTCCATTCCGATCTCTCCTCTCTCAGTCACCAGGTAACTAATTCGTACTTCTAGAGAGAAATGAGATAGCAATTTCATATTTGATCGAACAATGGTTTGGAGAAAATTGATTCACCGAACTGCATTATTCTCTCTCCTTCAATTTTGTCACAAACTGCATATATATATATATATATCTGCTACGTGATCAGAAGGAAGACTACAGATGATTAATCTGCATATATATTAATCTAATAGATTTTACGTGATCAGAAGGAAATTGTTTTCACCGAGTTCGACGTCTTTTTCGTGATACAAATGATCAATTGCTTCTCTTTCAACCTCTTGGCCTCTAACCTAGGTAATAAATTCCCACCTGAACAATTTGATCTCTTGTTCTTGAACTTCACAACGATTTCAATTGGTTTAGGGCTTCACATGTTTATTAAATCAATATTAGTGTTGTTGGAGATATGGGTTTTATTAGATTCGTATCAATTTTGATTGGATTCGATGCTAAATTGAGGTTTGATTGAGTTGTCAAGCTATTACATATAGCGACCCCGGTCTTTTCCCGTTTGATTATTGTATCCGGACTTAGGTTCCGTAGATTCTGTAATTGTATATTTGTTGTTGTTGTTGTCCCTTATTTTCTCATTTAGAATTATAGGATGTGTTTGGGTAGGTTTGTTTCAGGTTGGAAGGGTTTTGACACCAAATGTTGCTGTCCAGAATTTAGGATCTTCGCTCGAGCGAGGAGTTTGTCGCTCGAGCGAGATGTTGTTTTGGTTCTTCGCTCGAGCCGGGGTTTGGTAGCTCGAGCGAGAGTTTGCGTCTGGTTTGGACCAGTAGCTTTGCATTCTTGGCTCGAGCGAGCTTTTCTTCGCTCGAGCGAGTTAGTTCATTCTTCGCTCGAGCGATAGTTCCTTCGCTCGAGCGTGTGTCTGGTTACAGACTTGAGAGTTTGAGTTCTTCGCTCAAGTGATATTTCTTTCGCTCGAGCGAGCTTTTGGGGTTGTTGGCTCGAGCAAGGTTTTCTTGGCTCGAGTGTATCTTTTCTGTGTCTGGTCGCTCGAGCGACCAAGTCTTCGCTCGAGCGAGCCTGTCAGGTTTAAATAGGCAGCAATGTGTTTCAGATCAGTTTTTCATTCCCTTTCAGATTCCAAAACCCTAGGTACGAGTTTTCTCTCCCTCTACACACCTTCTCTCTTAGGATTGATCTACTTAGAGTGAGTTTCTACCTTAGATCCTTTATTAAAAAGATAGAGTGGGTCGAGGGCTTTCATTTAATCTAAATTGTTGGTAGTTTGGAGCACTTTGGAGTTTGGGTCTTCATCTCCATCTTCTCTTTTGGGGCTATTTCTTCGAGGTAGGGATTTCCTACTCCATCTTATAAGTTTTGTTCTAAGTTTTAGTATTTTGATATGTTGGGGGTACTTTGGTAATTTTGTGAAAGACCCTAGTTGTATTAATTAATTAATTTGTATAATTAATTTAAGGGAATTGGGGAATTTGGTTAAATTCATGAAATTGGGGAATTTATTGATTAAATGGTGTAGTTGGATAATTTAAATCACTCGTTTCAGCTCACCCCTTTCCCTTATATATATGAAGGTGATAAGCAAGAAGGTGGTGTCACCTAAGCTTTGTTGGAAGATGTGTTTTGCTTTATGCTTTTGTATTCATCTTGAAGATTATGCTTCTTAGCTTCATAGTTCATTTCTTTTGTATGTTTTGGGCTTGAGAAGCCTTTTGATCAAGATGTAACA